CTGCATTTCTAGCTCTAGGGAGGTGGTGGAGTCTCCTTCCTTGGAGGTTTTTAAGGCCCGGCTTGACAAAGCCCTGGCTGGGATGATTTAGCTGGGAATTGGTCCTGCTTTGAGCAGGGGGTTGGACTAGATGACCTCTTGAGGTCCCTTCCAACTCTGATATTCTATGATTCTATGATTCTATGACCTGCTTAGCTAGCCTGCCTTTGGATTGTGGGATGAAAAAGGTTCCTTCAGCCCACAAAGTGCATTCTACCCACTCAGAACATTTTGTGGCTTCTTTGAGGTTTGCGCCAGTTGAGATCCAGCACTACAGCTGGATTGTCTGATCTTACCAGGATGTGTTGACCTTGTATTTGAGGGGACCTTTGGCTTGATGGCTTCAGAGAGGCTGTCCACAATCACATTGCTTGAGCTGTAGCTTGTGCATAGGAATCCCCAGTGATTCCTTAGTGATATTAAGCCATCCGGGGATAACTCTTCAGCATGTTCTTTCTGCCTTATGCCTTTGGATGCCTGGAGGAGGGGACAGCTCCACTTCTGGATGGTTGGGAGAGCTTCAAGTTTCTAATAGGAACCGCTGCAGGGAAACAGCCACTGCCACCATCACCATCGCCTTCCGAAGGCTGGAGAGCCATAACCAGATCGGGTAAAAAAGGATGGAGCTGTAGGATGGCAGGGATATGTAAACAGGCCTCTTTTAAATTTGTCCAGGATGAAAGGTCACCCAGACTGCTCGCTGCTAGACATGCTACCAAATTCTGAGCTCTGCATCAGCACATGTCCAATACACTGAATTAGCTGAAGAAGTTGGCGTTTTAGGTCTAGTGCTGAATGCACCCCGCTGGCTACATGGCCCCTGAGAATTCTCTTGAATATGTTCCTGTATGCAGCCGCTGCCCTGGCACATGGCCTATGGCCTTTACTGCAGCTGAGAAAGCTGCTTCTCAACATTGGGAGAAAGGGAAGAAAATATTCGTTTGGGAGAAGGAGGAGGAGCAAGAGTCCGTGAGACAGTTGAGTAACCCATTTGCCCTGTGTCATGGCTGCCCACTTTTGCTGAAAAAGGAAACTCTTGGTCCTCTAAGTGCCCTGCTTAGAATTGGGAGAGGCTGGTTCAGAAGTGGAAAACGTGGGAGACAGGGATGTTTCTGTCAGACTGATGGGCCTGAGGAAGGAAACGAATGAGGAATCTCTCTCTGTGTGGCTTGTGCTTTCAGGGAGATTAGCAGATGGAGGAGGGAAGGTCAGGGGCTGGACCTGAAAAGTTTTTGAGAACAACTCCTGTCGTTAATCTGAGGTAACATTTTCAAAAGTATCCGTGACTCAGGAGCCCAAGTCCAATTTTCAGCAATGATTTAGGTGCTAGGAGCCTAATGCTCCTAGGACAACGTTCACTGCAGTACAGACAGCCACCTCCTGCTGCAGAGACAGGAAGGAAACTGACTGGAGGCAGGCAGGGGCGGAGCTGATAGTACCAATGAAGGCTGCTCTCTTCATAACCTGCCTGACTGCAGCAAGGAGGAGGAGCTGCCCCACAAGCCCTGAGCCACGGAAACGTTGCTGGCTTTAACGTTTTGTGGCTACTGACACGAGCAAACTGCCTGGCGTTCTACAGTGTCATCTTTGCGTTCACATGGGTTTATAAAGGGTTCACTCCTTGGGGCAGGCCTGTCGTTCTGTTCTGGGTCTGGCAGCTACCAGCCCAGTGGGACCTGGGTCTTTAATTCTAGTCCCTAGGTGTTATCGCAGTACAAATAACTAATAATGCCAAGCCTTGTAGAGTGGGAAGCATTTCTGCTGTCTTGTGTTTGACACCGTAAGTGTTCATAGCAAGATGTGCTGACCAGTTGATAAATTGGATGTAACTTCGAATCCCAGTGGAGCCATAGAACAAAAGTGTGCAGAAGATTGGGGTTTAGGATGAGGGCTAGTCACTTATCACAGTAGTATCTGAGCACCTTCCAGTTGCACATTAAACCACATGACATGCATCTATCACATGCCCATTCTCTCATCCCCTGAGAGGGAGAAGGGTGTGCGGTAGTGGGCTTTAGTTTGGAGTTTTTGTCTTACTAAATATATACCCGTGTGGCTAGACGTTGACATTAGAGAAGGCAAAGCCAAAACCATTCTCCTTGTACTGTGAGCGGAAGGTGGGGAGGGCTGGGACAGTCCTTAGTTCCTGGAGAAGTTAATTCCGCCGCCTCGGACCAGCCCCTGAGAAAGCTCCGTCTCCCGCTCAGGCGAGCTTTACCCTTATTGTAGAGAGCTCCATTGGGCCAGAGGAGTACTGTGGTCCCCTGAAGCTCTGTTGAAGGGTTGGGGAAGCAATAGGAGGAAGTGGAGGGGCTTATGTCAGCCCTGCTGATTGAAGGAGTGTGTCTGTCATTTGTGAAGTGGGGTCATAACTTAGAGGCCGGGTTAGAGCTTTGGCTGCTAATGGATTCCCGGGGAGTAGCTGTGCTAAGAGTGTTTCTTCCAGCTACGCCTGGCAAGATGAGGTGACCATTTCTTTTGGATGAAGGGAACTTGCTACTTGCATCTGCACCTTTGTGTCCTCTGCACTAGGCTGCTGTAACGTGGTCTTCTTGGGGCTATCTCCTAAGAAAACCTGGAAAGTGAAACTGGTGCTGAATTTGGCTGCCTGAATTTTTGGTGGAGCTTCATATCAGGAGTCCTGGCTCTACACTGGGTGTTTTATTCTTTACTTGTGGAGTGTGGGGAGTTGGTTTTAAACTATAACGCTCTAGGGCAGTAGTCCTCAAATGTTTGTACTGGTGGCCCTTTCATATAGCATGCCTCTGAGCGCGACCCCCCCCCCAGGTATAAATTTAAAAACACTTTTTTATATATTTAACACCATTATAAATGCTGGATGCAAAGCGGGGTTTGGGGTGGAGGCTGACAGCTCGTGACCCCCCCATGTAATAACCTCGCGACCCCCTCAGGGGTCCCGACCCCCACTATGAGAACCTCTGCTCTAGGGCCTGGCTCCACAAAGGACTTAAGCACCTAGAAAATCACAGGAATACAGAGATCCACAGAGTCTGAATTAGGCACCTAGCCTCCCTATGCAGTGAGTGGGGAGGGTTAGACACCTATGACTGGGCTCCCCAAAAGCTGGCACACTCTGCAGGGACCGGCATGAGCTAGCTAGTGGGAGATCCTGAGGAGAGGGTGTGTTCTAAGCCCTCTCAGGGAGCACCTAGAGTCCAGGCTGTAGGGAACTACCTATCTCTGCTTGTGATCCACCACTGGGAACCGCTCTCTGGAGTCAGGCGACTCAAGGACACAAGTTGTTTCATGTGAGAATTAATTACTCCCCTGCCTGACTCCACACACAATGGCCAGAGAAGGAGGAAGCAGGAGGGGTACTGCCCTTCTCACCTTTAGCCCAGTGGTAAGAGCACACACCTGGGACATGGGAGACCTGGGTTCAGTTCCCCCCGTGCTTGATGTGGAGAAAAGATTTGAGCAAGTGTCTCCCACCTCTCAGGGGATGCGCTAACTACTGGGCTTTGGGATATTCTGATGTGGGGCTCCCTGAATCTCTCTTGTTGAAGCCTCTTCCTCTGGCCAGCTTTTGAGTGGGACATGATCCAGTAAGTGGTCTCTGAGTATGCCTGCCAGATTGGGCCCCACAGGTGAGTTAGGTGCTCATATGCCTGTCTTCTGCCAGGTTGGAGGTTGCGGTGGGGAATCAGGTGGGAGATAGGTACCTGGACACCCAGAGGGAGGCAGAAGTGTTCATGCCCGGAGCCAGGAATTTAGGTTCCTAGGGAACTAGTACAGAGGAAATGTAGGCACTGAGGCACGTCCTCACTACGGGGGGGGGGGGGTGTCAATTTAAGATATGCAAATTCAGCTACGCGAATAGCATAGCTGAATTCGACGTATCCGAGCCGACTTACCCCACTCTGAGGACAGCAGCAAATCGACCTCTGCAGCTCCCCCGTCGACAGCGCTTACTCCTACCTGCGCTGGTGGAGTACAAACGTCAATTCGGGGATTGATTGTCGCGTCCCGACGAGACGCAATAATTCGATCCCCGAGAGATCGATTTCTACCTGCCGATTGAGGCGGGTAGTGTAGACATAACCTGAGTGATTTTAGACACCTATGGGGTTAGGTGGCAACCGAGCGGGGGTTTTGTGGATTGCCGTGGCACCTAAAACTGGAACTTAGACTCCTAAAATATAACCTTTTTACAGTTTTTCATAACATTTTCTTTGCCAGAAGACGCTGTTTGGGTTTCACGAGCCACCCTCTTCAAAGTCCTGGGGGCGCTCTGTGTGGCGTGCGCTGGTATTATCGGAAGCCAGTACATGAACATTCGCACCTGAGACTGGTTCCCATCGGGCCTGCTCCCTGCCTACAGGTGGGTGTCCTTTGACTCTACTCTGCCAAGTTACATTTAGCCATTAGCAAAAGAATCTGTCCACAGCGATGTCCCATTAGCAAACCTATTTGTCTGACATAGTCTGTACGCCAGATGGAAGCTGGTTAAGTGACTCACGCTGTATTCTAAGTACACCTCTACCCCGATATAACGTGACCCGATATAACACGAATTCGGATATAACGCCGTAAAGCAGCGCTCCAGGGGGACGGGGCTGCGCACTCTGGCGGATCAAAGCAAGTTTGATATAACGCGGTTTCACCTATAACGCGGTAAGATTTTTTGGCTCCCGAGGACAGCGTTATATCGAGGTAGGGGTGTAAAATGTGCTTAGCAGTTCATTAGACTTTGGCATCCTTAACTAATTACATTTGTAGCATCACTCATAGGCGCCGACTTTTTGGTTCCCAGGGGGTGCTTCTCCACCCCTTCCCACAAGCCCCCACCTCCGCCTTGGCTCTTCCCGCCACTGCCTCCTCCGCCCCGCCTTTTCCTGCTCCCTCTGCCCCAGAGCTTCCTGCACGCCATGGAACAGCTGATCGCAGTGGGTGGGAGGCACTGGAAGAGAGGGGGAGAAGCTGATCAATGGTGCTGCCAGCCAGGTGGGAGGCGTGGAGGGGGAGGCGGGGCTGCCAGTGCATGCTCAGCACCCACTATTTTTTTCCATGGGTGCTCCAGTCCTGGAGCACCCACAGAGTCAGCGCCTATGGCATCGCTCATAAGGCAGGGGCTCTTACACGGCAATATGCTAACGTCACAGGGTCTCTGCCCCAGTTCAGGGCCCGCTCATGGCGATAATATTTTATATGGTCTCTGGCCCGTGCCTTTTATCTGTGGATCGCCAAGCCCTTCAGGAGGCGCTCTAAGTAAAACTTTGTTCCAGTCAGATAGAGGATGTCCCTTCTTCCTATGCTAAGTACCTTGGGCCTGATTTTTCTGCCCCGGTTCAAGTCCCTTTGCACCACCCAGGTGGCACAGAGGAGCTGAATCTGGCTCTGAGGATTCCCCCAGCATAGCATAGTCAACTCAGACACCAAATACTCCCCACTCTGCCCTGGTGTAGGGGTGGTGCCCAGGGTGGAGCATGTCCATGCTACACTGATTCACAGCAGGCTCAAGGTATATCGGGACCCTATATTGCTATAGCGCCTAGAGGCCAACCAGGTCAGGACCTTGACGTGCTGGGTGCTGTGTAAACCTAGTAAATGACAGCCCCTGTCCCAAAGAGCTTGCATTGCACATAGCCAACTGGTCTAAAATAGAGTAGCACCTAAGCTGCTCTTGCTCGTGCTGATAGGCTGGGGCAGGTATCATGGGATTCACGGAGACTGTTTGGTCCCTCCTTCACTTATCCCAAGGGTTATCTATGTTCTGAGGGTGGGAGTGTCTTAGATCTGCATCATCGCCCCTCTCACACTATATCCCCCACAGTTACGGCTTACATTAGCCGCCATCTTTTGTGCTCCCTCTGTTGCATCTACTACAGAAGCTCTGACAGCTATTCCTGGAGCTGGGCTGAAATTCTCCAGGATTCTCTACAAAGTTTTGGGGAGCGGGAAGATGCAAACATTCACCCCTGCTTCCCAAAGCCAAGAGAGCAACAACTTTTATACTCACGCTACTGAGTTATCCATACAATGGAGAGGAAACCAATTATAACCAAATAAAACTTACCAAAGTGTGTTTTCTCTCTAAGCAAAACATAAGTATTAACATTAGTCACTAGGCAGCTAACTTGCCTGTATATCTGTGGTTTGTTTTTCATTAATAGTGTAATCTACAGAGGTGTTAATCAGGCCATGAACAACCATATGTTGTAGCATTCTATGCATGTTACCTAGAACACACTGCTACTATCTCCTAACCTGACGTATGTGTTTTCATTTTTTTTCCAGATCCTCTGTCCACCTGGATCTCACCTGTCATCCAAAATAAAAAACATCAGCACCCGTTACTGTTTTGTGTTTGTGTTAATACAGAGCTCCAAAATTACAGTTGTTGCAACAAGCTTCTGTTATAAAGTCCTATGTTAATCCACCAATAATTTTGCCTTAGAAAATTGATTTGGTGTGAAAGTTACCAGATTTGCTCTGAAGGCAAAGGAAAAAATGTCTGCAAAGTTTGAAGAAAATGAATCAAACAGTTTGAGTTACAGATCATTTAAAAAAATACCCCATGTGAAAGTTGGCACGTCTAACATTTTCGTTGGGTCCCTCTAGCTCACAAAAAGATTTGTTTGTTATCCTTCAAATTTTCATAGAGTTAAATTTCCTGGAAAACTCATGCCTTGGCTCTATTTGGAGAAAATAGATTGTAATTAAGCAAACTTGATTAATGTTTTTTGTTGGGAGCCAATTCTGTTCCCATTGCTAAGTGTGTGATGCATGGGGTTTTAGTTCTGTTTTGATTTTTTTTGGTTATTGACCAGATACTATAGGTGTGTGTGTGTGTGTGAGTATGTTGATTTCCATTGGTGGGGTACAATTTAGAAAGGGCATAAGGGTCCTTCTATATCTGAGAGCTAAGCATAGCTTTCTTTTACTTCAAGTTTGGACTGAGTTTGGAGCTTCAAGATCAGGGTTCTGGACCCACCTTCTGCACCCTGTGAGATTTGTAACTGTAAGGATTGCCCCAGGGTTGGGCAAACTTTTTGGCCTGAGGGCCACATCTGGGTATGGAAATTGTATGGTGGGCCATGAATGCTCATGAAATTGGGGGTGTGGGCTCTGGAGTGGGGCCAGAAATGAGAATTTCAGGGTGTGGGAGGGGGCTGAGGCAGGGGGCTGGGGGAGGGCTCCGGCTGGGGGTGCGGGCTCTGGGGTGGGGCTGGGGATGAGGAGTTGGGGGTGCAGTTTGCTCCGAGCTGGGACGGAGGGGTTTGGAGGGTGGGACGGGGATCAGGGCTGGGGAAGGGGGGTTGGGGCACACGAGGGGGCCAGGGGTGCAGGCTCCGGGCAGCACCTACCTCAAGCAGCTCCCAGAAGCAGCGGCCTGTCCCCCCTCTGGCTCCTCCACCCCTGCAGCTCCCATTGGCCACGGTTCCCATGCGGAGCTCCTTGGCTGTCCCTACGTGTAGGAGCTGGAGGGGGGACATACCGCTGCTTCTGGGAGCCGCGCGGAGCAGGGCAAGACCCGGATCCCGCTCCCCGGCAGGAATTTGAGGGCCAGATTAAAACGTCTGGAGAGCTGGATGCGGCCCCCAGGCCGTAGTTTGCCCACCTGTGATCTAGCCTCTTCATAGTTAAGATTACAACGCATTAGAAAGCTGACTTTGATCCCCTTTGTTAGACAAGAAAGAAGGGGGTTAAAAAGACAAACCGTCTTGTTTTCACATTTGTAGGATGGAATGTCAGTGACAATAGAATATTTTCTGATGTTTTTGAGTAAACTGAGTAAGGGCTTTTTGAGATTTAAATCATTCGAAGTGCCTCCTTTTCGTAATGTGTGGAGCGTGTGTGTTGTTTCTGTGTGTGATCATGCTGGGCCAAGAGAGGGATAGTGTACCACGAGTGTGAAACATACGTAGATCTTGACGGGCTGAAGCAAGAGGCAGTTTTCAATGATAGGAATAGTAAAATGTTTACAAAATTGCCATTATTTGAAAACTAGACATTAGTCTCTGTCAGTGAAGCCAAGGAGAAAAAATTTCGTGAGGGAGAATTTTCACTGTCAACCTCTGAACTAGCCCAGGTTACTCCTCAAAAGTGAGAGGAAACATCAATGGGGAAATTCTGGCCCTTTTGAGAGCAATAGAGATTTTGCCCTTGACTACAGAGGGGCCAGGACTGCACCCTAGGACAACTCTCCCTTCCTTTCTCGCCAAAGTGCCTCTTTCACGTGGGGCAATACGTACTGGGGTAACTGGGGAAAAGAAAATATAGATGCCCTGGAAAAGGTCACATAAGAAATTTTGGATAAGGCTGGGGACAGAATCCTGCTACAGATTTAAGGCTAGAAAGGAACATTCTGATAATCAAACAGGCCTTGTGCATAGTACAGGCCAGAGACTTTCGCCCAATATTCCTACAGCAGGTGAATAACTTGCTAGGAGACCAATCTTGTATCCACTACACCGGGGTTCTCAAACTGGGGGGTGGGACCCCTAAGGGAGTCGTGAGGATATTACATGGGGGATCGTGAACTTTCAGCTTCCACCCCAAACCCTGCTTTGCCTCCAGCATTTATAAAGGTGTTAAATATATTAAGTGTTTTTAATTTATATGGGGGGGGGGTCGCACTCAGAGGCTTGCTCTGTGAAAGGGGTCACCAGGACAAAAGTTTGAGAACCACTGCAGTACACCACACTGCCTGTCACTGTATCAAATCCATGCACTTAGGTCAACGGTCAATTTCAGCTAATAAATCCTCGCCACCCTTTTAAGAGGATTTGAGAACTACATGTAATAAAGCAATAGAAATGCAAAGCATTAAAACACAGGTTCAGTAGCTTAACAGGAATGTGGCCTAGGGCGTTAGACACTAGCTGTGGAACCAGGAGAGCAAAGTTCTAGTCTCGGTCTGATGCTTAATCTGCTAAAATGTATGGTTTGTGTTCGGAGTGGTGAAGGCCGGCTGTACGGTGCATGCGGGGATCACTTAGCTACATTTGTGTAGCTTGTCAGCTGTGTTTTGAATGAGGCAGGGTTCTGCAGGAGCCAAAATGAGCTTAGCCGGCACCACCCACCTCTTTAATTCAATAATTTGGTGACACAGCCCATTAATTTAACCCTTTAAAAACTTCCTTCATTTACTTTACAAAATATGAGAAAATTGTGTGTGCTTACATAGGCAGTGTAGGATTTGTTACCCAGACCTAAAAAAGTATGATCTAAGATCTAAAACTAAGACTTTGTAATTAAATTAGGCCAGAATTTGATCCCCTTCTTAGCCTTAGTGTCTTACTCTATATGAAATCCTTTGGGTATGAATGAGTCTCCTTTGGAGTAAGGTGCTACTCAGAGCATGTAGGGCTTCATGGTCTACCCCATAGTGGTTTTCTTCAGTGGTAGAGCTCAAGGTTATTATGCCTGTTTTCCTGCTGGCCTGACTACAGAGATTTGAAACGGCATAAGATACACCTCTGCCCCGATAGAACGCTGTCCTCGGGAGCCAAAAAATCTCACCGTGTTATAGGTGAAACCGCGTTATATCGAACTTGCTTTGATCCGCCGGAGTGCGCAGCCCTGCTTTACCGCATTATATCCAAATTCATGTTATATCAGGCCGCGTTCTATCGGGGTAGAGGTGTACTGTGGGCTAGTGGATAAGATGTGGGTCGACCACCTTAAAGGTCAGGGCGGTCACAAACTGTACCTCAAATCTCCTCTGTAGCTTTCAGCAAGTCATTAAAATGTTGGTTTTCTTACTATTCCAACTGCTAAATGCCCATTCCTTTGAGACGAGGGCTGTGCTGGCAGGGCACGGAGGAAGAAGTCATTTTGCCACATCTTAGCGTTTAATTTCACTTTTGAAACGTAACCCTGGCTGATCTTTGCAGATTAACAAAAATATTCTCTCATCACTTGTGTCCCCTGCGCATCAGTTCCATTGACAGAGACTCCTATTTAGTATTCAAATAATAGCAATTTCTTAAACATGTTTATTCTTCTTGCCTTTAAAAATTGCCTTTGTCTTGAACCATATTCAGAATCTGCCTGTGTTTTAGATGTAATGGCACACTATGATTTTATAGGGCACAGTGAGGGAGACAGAAATATTTGATACTTTGATACTACATGATTTAGGAGCACAAGTCCCATTGACTTTCATTAGTTGTGCTCCTAAGTCACTTGGGCACTATTGAAAATTTCATCCAAAAATACTAGTGTACATTTTAGTTGTAAACTCTTAAGGGCAGGGACTTTCAGACTGTGGTCTGTATAAGGCACAGCGCAATGGGGCCCCGATCTCATGAGGCCTTTAGACTTTACTGTAACCACTAATTAATAATACTTTTATCAGATTTTTCAGAATTTTTTTGAGTGAGAGACTTAACTCCTCCTGCTTCCACATGTTGAGGGTATTCTTTTTAGGGTTGCCAGGATAGGTCAAAATTGGTCTGATAACGGGATAGGGGTTGCAATGTAAATAATAAAATAACACACAACTGCAGAGTCAGAACCCTGTTGTTCTAGCTCCAACCACTTAAGAGCATAAGAACAGCCATACAGGGCAGACCAAAGGTCCATCTAACCCAGTGTCCTGTCTTCCGAGAGTGGCCAATGCCAGGTGCCCCAGACGGAATGAATGGAACAGGCAATCATCAAGTGATCCATCCCCTGTTGCCCATTCCCAGCTTCTGGCAAACAGAGGCTAGGCCTAGGGATATCATCCCTGCCAATCCTGGTTAATAACCATTGATGGACCTATCCTCCATGAATTTATCTAGTTCTTTTTTGAACCCTGTTATAGTCTTGGCCCAACATCCTAGCCCCTCAGAGTGACATGAGTTTCACTGACAAAAGCACCGGTGTGGACAGTGGTATGTTGGTGGGAGATGCTTTCCTGACGACATAGCTACCATGGCACAGAGCGGCTACGTGGGAGACAGTTACAGCAGCGCAGCTGAGCTGCTGTAAGGTCTGTAGTGTAGACATAGCCTAAATGTGGCAATTTTCAAGCCAAATCCAATTTCCAAACAAAAGGAGCCTAGGATCACAACAAAAATGACAAGATCATGGAAGGGAAGAAGCCCAGGTGAAGTGCTTGCTGGTTGTGGGAAGTGCAGTTCGTCCATGGTGAAAAGATCTGCCTATTGTTTGGCTCAGTTTTTCCTATGTTGGAATCGATTTTTTTTTAAATACAATGTTGCTACATATCCTAGACTATCAGGGTTGAAAGGGGCCTTAGGAGGTCATCTAGTCCAACCCCCTGCTCAAAGCAGGACTAATCCCCAGACAGATTTTTGCCCTAGATTCCCTAACTGGTCCCCTCAAGGCTTGAACTCATAACCCTGGGTTTAGCAGAACCAATGCTCAAACCACTGCACTATCCCTCTGGCAATAACAGTACCCCCATTTTGCAGAGGATGAAACAACAGCAGAGAAAGGGGCAATTGACTCATCTGAGGGCACCCAGCAGGCCAGAGACTAGAACCCAGATCTTTATGTCTCCATCCAGTGCACTTAGCCCCCCTTGACCAAGAACCAGAGAGGTCTACATTTATGAGTCCAGCACCAAGAGTTTGGTTTAAAAACCATGATTTTAAAGATAAATAAACACACCTTGCTTTTTTGTTTTGTGTCTTTTTTTATTTGTCTTTGGCTTCTGCACAGTGCGGGGTCCCGTTCTCGGGCTTCTCTCTGCAAGAGCGTCTCATGGAATCACCTGACTCCAGGCGCTGGTGCCTGGAGAAAACCAGCAGGAGACTGGCAGTCCCACGCCAGTGCCTGGGGTGGGCAAGGCGTGCAGCTTGGGCACCGTGGCTGGGCGTGGGGGGCCCAGCAGAGCCAGGGCCGCGGGTGCCCGCCTCAGTGAGGGGCCAGCCTGGCTCAGCCCCCCCAGCGCCTCCAGGCCAAGCTCCAAGGAGCTGCCGGGCTGGGACCAACACAGCCGGGGGCGGGGCCTGGTGCGGAGGGGCGGGGCTAGCCGGCTGCGCTGCGCAGGGGGCTGGCGGAGGCGAGGCGGTCCCGAGGCGGGGGGGTCAGGCCCCCTAGAGCCAGCAGCGCCCTCTACAGCCTCGGCGCATCTCAGCCCCCCGGGCCAGGCGCTACCCCTTTAAGGGGGGGAGGGGGCGGGTTCCGTTTGTGGAGACAAAGCCGGGCGCGCGGCCTCTCCGTGGTACCCGGATGGATATGAAGGGGACGCGCTCCCATTGGCCGGCGAGGGAAGGAGGCGGGGCTAGTAACGGGGCCACAAAATGGAGTCTCGCTCCCTCCGCTTATATAACGTGACCTTTCACCCTACGCGCTCTGCAGCCTAAATTGTCCGCTAAGTGGGCGGGGCTAGCCGAGTAGACAGGCGCGCCACATGGCCACTAGAATGTGCCTGTCCCAGAGGGCGACCAATCGGGCGGTGCCGTAGGCGGGAAGGGCCGGCCTGGCGGTAATAGCAGGTTAGGGTGCGCGCGCAGCGCTTCTGCCGGCCGCTCGCTCGGGAGGGGGGAGGGGAATCTCCCGCCATTTTTCAATCCTCCCGCCCGGGTCCTACCGCTGCCGGGAGCCGCCAGGCCCAGCCGGGGCCACTTCGCTTCCCGTGATGGCGCCGCTACTGGGCCGCAAGCCCTTCCCGCTGGCCAAGCCGCTGCCGCCGGGGGAGGCGGGCGAGAGGTTCATCGTCCCTCACACGCAGGAGGCCTTCCGCACCCGCGAGTATCCGCCCGGCCCGTGGGGCCTGAGGGAGGGGGCCGGTGCGGGGCGGTTCCGAGGGGACAGGGGCCGTGCCGGCTCCGTCCGGCTGCCGGCCCCTTCCGCTGGCCCCGGTACCGGGCGGGGTGGGACCGAGCGGCCGCTGCCCGGGCTGGGCGTAGGGCTGCTGGCGCTGGCCCGCGGCTGCCAGGCGCTCCCGGTTGGGCCGGGGCAGGAGCGGGCGCCAAAGCGCCCCGGGTGCCGGCCGCTGCCCCGCGTGGCTCCGCGCCCCTCTGGGGGAGGGGCAGCGCCCGGGCCCGCGGCTGCGTCGGGGCCCCCTTGGCTCGCTGAGCCGGTGACAGCGCTCCGAGGCCTGGCGCTGTCACTCCCCTTGGAGCCCGGGCGCCTCGCACAGCGGCCGGCGAGAGCTGCTGGTGGGGAAACATGGGCCGGGGGGGCCCGGGAGGTGGGGGGGCTCCCGGCCGGCATTGGCCGCCTCGCAGGTTACTGCTGTCCAGCTCCTGCCCCGGCCGTGCAGCCTCGCACCGAAAGTAAACTAGTCCGTTCCCGGTTGGGTTCTAGCCGATTTCTGGTCCCCGATGCTGCGTGATTGGTGTGGCAGATGCTTTGCACGAGAGTTTAACTCCTAACTTACACGTCCGATGAGAAACCCCAAACGTTTGTTAGTTTGTCACTTCTTCCGAGTTCCACCGAAGCGGCTTTATAACGCCATCTTTCCTAGATTATTGACTGTGTGGCTTCCTGGGCAAGACATAGGGCTTCAGGCTCCAAAATCTGATGGAGTGACTGAATACTTAAATTCATATGCGTAGTCTAGTAGTAAATGCTGATGGTTTGCGAAAACGTGCTTGTGTCTCAGGATAGTCTTGTAAAATTCAGTTCGCGTCTTATGATTTTTAATTTTGTAAAATAAAGGGAATTGGGGGGAGGGGGAGAAAGAACCCAAGTGTAAGGGTTAGTTTGATAAAGGATAGTTTAAGAATCTCTGACATACATGCTTGCTGCTTAAACACTTGAAAGGGTGAATATGTTAAGAAAACTAGTCTTGCTAAAGCTTAGGCCCAAGAACATTGCACATTGTTTTGTAGCCTACGTTGTAGGAACTTGTGACTATAACTCTTTTTGAGGACAGATAGCTATTAGATTTAACCCATTTTAATTCTTCTTGAGTATTGGCCCTCCCTTGCATATAAGGGCAGGTCTACACTTAAAATGCTGCTGTGGCACTTAAGTGAAGATACTCCTACATTGAGGGGAGAGCTTCTCCCATCAGTGTAGTTTAATCCATGTCTGTGAGAAGCAGTAGCTAGGTTGATGAGAGAAGATCTCCCGCTGACATAGCATTGTCTACACCGGGAGCAAGATGGATATAACTACAGAGGTGTAGATTTTTCACATCCCTGAGTGATGTGGACTTGGCCTAAGTGTTTGTAGGATCAGAGCCAGAGTAGAAGGTTAGTGGCCCCTGCTTGACAAACTTATACCCCAACTTAAGCCGTGGCAAAATAGTTTGTGTAACAAGAGAATGAGGCAGACAAGAACACATAAGCCAGGAGTGTATACAAGTATAAAGGTTTGAGTGTCTTAGTATAAATATTAATGAGATAAATATCAGAAGCTCCAACTGACCATATATGTAATAGTTGTCAATAGGCCTCAGTTTACTCTAGGCATTGGAGCAGAATTGGGAAGGGATTTAAAGGACCAACTTATGCAAGAAATACATTTGCTAAATAAGTGGTGGTGTGGAAAACATAGCTGTTTTGGGGAAAAATTAAGAAACAGGCAATGGAAGTTGCTTGTCTGCAGTGGATTCTTTTCTCTCTATATATACAATTTGAAAGCCCTCTGGGATTCTCCTGTATGAAAGGTAGGTTATAAGTTCGTGGTATTGTAGCATAATAATCAGTGTTCATCGCTTCTTGGAGGGATGAAGTGGGTTGTAGGCAAATTAAATACAATCATAGGAGATGGACCAGTAATTCTGTGCAGAGGACTTAATGTCTACGTAGATAGGTGTGTGGGTGGGGTTTTTTTTGTTTTTGTTTGTTTTTGTTTTTGTTTTTTAATGGGCTGTAACTCTGCAAACTACTGGCCCTGGAGTACAACAAGTGGGATGGAAACCGCAAGGAGAACTTAGATTGTGGAGGAAATGTATAAATGTCTATAATGTGCGAGAGATCTTGGCAGCCTGTGAGACAAAGGGTCTCCAGAACTTATAAAGACTCTTGCATTAGAAAATGTTCTGTTACTGCACTAGGAAGTGCAACCAGGTAATGCCCATAGGAAGGATTATGTAGCCCAGGGGTAGGCAACCTATGGCACACGTGCCAAAGGCGGCACACGAGCTAATTTTCAGTGGCACTCAGGCTGCCTGGATCCTGGCCACCGGTCCAGGGGCTCTGCATTTTAATTTAATTTTAAATGAAGCTTCTTAAACATTTTATAAACCTTATTTACCTTACATACAAGAATAGTTTAGTTATATATTATAGACTTAGAGAGAGAGAGAGAGAGCTTCTAAAAACGTTAAAGTGTATTACTGGCACGCGAAACCTTAAATCAGAGTGAATAAATGAAGACTCGGCACACCGCTTCTGAAAGATTGCTGACCCCTGATGTAGCCTTTGAGAAGGAAGTGTAAGTCTGAGATTCAGACAGGTATTACTAATGCATTCAATACAATGAAATGGTGTTGGGGTGCCTTAATTCAATGTGAATGTTCATTTTAAATCATTTAAGTCTGAATAAACCTACAGTTCATGTGACTGACATCTTAGATGTTGTGGGATATGAAATATTGAAAGGAGCTTAGAAAAGCAGCAAGATTGGGGCTTGGAGGCTTTAATGACTATTACAATTTCAATATACAGCAGGGTGGATTGACTTTAATTTCTGGTTTTAATCATGTTTTAAATCAGTAAGCAGTAAACCTTGAGTTAAACAGTTTGATTTTAATTGTTAGGCATTTGTACTTATTTATTTTCCTAAAAAAAGTTGCTTTTTATTAGTTGGTTACTATTAAAACATGTCGATTTGCAACTAAATATAGTCTTTACACTAAATTTGGTCCTTCCTTTTTGCAAGGAGGATATACTAAATTGATGCACATTTATTTAAGCAGTTCTATAACATAAGGTACATTTATTCAGATTCTTAATTTTTACATTTTTTATATTAGAAAATGGTGAATAATGTATTTTACTAGATTAATTTTTTACTTGTGGTTTATATCAAACTCTATTTGGTTGGGAATTCCAAAGCAATTAAAAGTACTGAAAAACAAAAAAACCTACCTTAAATGTGCTGGATACATAAGAAAAAATTTACTCAAAACATGTTTTCTGTTTGAAACTGATTCTTTAAGAAAAGAAAGTATTATCTGCAGTAAGTGAATTAAACTTACTGTTTCTTGTCAGCATGCCCTTCAGATTTTAGAACTAGTAGATCTCACTCTTACACCTAGTTTTCATTCATAGTTTGGAAGTGTGCATTTTCAGTTTACTATTGTTTTTTAAGAACTAATCATTTAATTGAACTAGCTGAATAAACTGCAGTGATGAAAATATTCTCTGCTCCTGCAGAACCAGCTACTGCTGTCAAAAGTTGGTTTAGCACTTCAACAGACTTTGGTTCCAGGTGCTTAGCCAATGGCCTTCACCAGTTCAGTGGTTTGACTTTCATTAAGTTGTTGGAAGTAAACGTACACTACTACTTGTTTGTTTAATTTAAATTATTTTAACAGATTATAATACATTTATGCTTTAACACTGGTTGTCATAATTTCAAATGTTAAATAAGTTTAATTTTAAAAATAAGCCTGTATTAAATTTTAAATAAAAAATCTGATTTAAATGCAATCATTTTTAATTATATTTTTATGCACCTTGATATGTATGTGTTAGTTAATTAGTAAGGGGATGTGAGGTATATGTCTTCAAATGGTTGAAGGGTGTAATTGCCAAGGAAAAAGAGGAATTGTTTACTGTCAAGAGAGGCGAGGGGAGTCGCCGGGTGAAGAGTCTCTGGGTTTTCATCCTAAAGTTGCTTTCAAGGCAATCAGGCTCCAAGACATTTAGACCTTCTCTTCCCTAGGAAAAAAGGTGTGTAAGGGCATGTCTTCACTGGCAACATTAAAACGTTGCCACAACAGTGCTTTAATGTGGCTGCGAGAAAGTTGCAGCGCTGTAAAGTGGCAGTGTAGACAAGGCCTTAGTTAAGAACAAAGGTGTCAGTTAAGAACCCACCGTTTTCCCTAGCGAAGACAACCTTCAACACTTTCCTCTGTGTTGTGTAGGTTCTTGTACTGAATCCATCAATACGATGTAAAGTGGAATCTGGTGGCACCTGAAAGACTAACAGATTTATTTGGGCATAAGCTTTCAGTGGTAAAAACCCACTTCTTCATGTAAGAAGTGTTTTTTTGTTTTGTTGTTTTTTTACCCACAAAAGCTTATGCCCAAATAAATCTGTTAGGCTTTAAGGTGCCACCGGACTCCTCATTGTTTTTGTGGATACAGACTAAGGCTAGGTCTACACTACCCGCCTGAATCGGCGGGTAGAAATTGACCTCTCGGGGATCGATTTATCGCGTCCCGTTGGGACGCGACAATCGATCCCCGAATCGACGCTCTTACTCCGCCAGTGGAGGTGGGAGTAAGCGCCGTCGACGGGAAGCCGCAGAGGTCGATTTTGCCGCCGTCCCTACAGCGGGGTAAGTCGGCTGTGATACGTCGAATTCAGCTACACTATTCGCGTAGCTGAATTTGCGTATCTTAAATCGACCCCCCCCCCCTAAAGTGTAGATGTAGCCTAACACAGCTACCCCTCTGATGGAAAGTGAAATTATTTGGATTTTGTCTAAGGGTTAACTGTGGGCCATACTTACTAAAATACGGAAGTTACTTTCCCGCAGAGAGCCTTATGAAGGGTGGCAAACAGTGGTGAGCTCAACTTCCATATGGGCAGGGACACAGGAAGTATCTAGAGAGCAGAGTGGGTGGAGGGATGGACTGGTCAGTGGAGCTTGAATACTTATTTGGGCTTTGGGCTTATTTGCAGCTGTGCATGGCTGCCCTCCACCACCAAATCCCCTTAAAGCCTTCTTAGAGGAAAAACACCCTGCCGAGTCCACTGCATGCTAGATGAAACCTTAGGCTTCTGGTCTGTGACTTGGGGAATGAGCCTTGTTAATTGTGTGGCTCTGGAGAGAGGTGGGATGAATCACTTGGCAAAGCCAGAAATACTCTTCTGCACAGGTTGGCTAATGGGTCTACCCAGAATCAGGTAACATTTACTTTACATCACATCTCACTTGGCTTTATGCAGCATACACATGGGAAGGGAGCCGTCTGCAATACGTTTTCCTAATTCAGGAATCTGATATCCTGTCAAAAAGACAAACTTTGCCTTGTGTGGCCCAAGTGTCTCTTTCCCAGTGTGTAGGGTGGCTAGCTTGTGACTTCTTTAGAGATGTATTTCATTTACACTGATTGGTTTGGAAGAATGCAACTGGTATGCACTGTGCAAAATGCACAGTTTGAGACTCTTCTACTTAATTGACCTGAGAGTGAGGGAAGGAATGCTGAAATCGAAAGTGGCCTGTCCTTAAGCAGTGTAATTTGTTTGAAAGCAGTGTTGTTTTCCCCCCAAAATAAAGTTTTCTGCTCTTATTTGTCTCCTTTTGTTTAGTATGTGTTCTAAGGCAATGAGCTGGGTCTGAAAGAGTTCAGTATCTCCTACTTTGGAGTAGCGCAGAAAATGGTAGAGCCGGAGGTTTCACAAAAGGGAAATGCTTTGCAGATGGGCGAAGGACAGACTTTCAGATCTTTGCATGTGGGTGTCCAGAAAGTTAAAATATGGTTGGAAAATACTGTTTTGGTGCTGCCTATAATACTATTGCGTCATACTGAAGAGACTTAGTCATATGAACTTTGTCACCCTTGTGGCAAATTATTTTTAAAACCAAGAAATAAAATGAAAAAGCATGTTTGATATTAAACACTGTAGTTACGACAAATGTGACAGTGTCATCAGGCTAAGAATCAGTTTGTTATAAGTACATTAACCATGTTTATGATCAGTGATTGCTTTCTCGGTGGTTAATGAAAATGGAAGTAATTCAAAGATGATTCTCAAACTGTTGCCTAGTGGATACTACTTGTAGGGATATTAATGGCTTCCCAACAATGACAAAGCTGTTTTAATCAGTCTTATATGTGTTAGATTCTTTGTTTTAGCACAACTTAGTCTTCCAGGTTTTAACACCTGAGTACTCTTTAGTGTCTTACCTAAATGTGAGAGATTGTCCTTTGCCAAAGTGGTATTCATCTGTTAAATTGAACTTGCATGTTATCCATAGATATTTTTGCAAGTCTATCAGTAGCTGATCTGGAATTTTTTGTATTAATGCATCTTCAAGGCTCATGGAAATTGCAACCACCAACTCTGTGCTGTTGTTGGAGAAGCTATTTGGTTATAACAGCGAGACAGTCCTGAATCTGGTCTGTCAGGTGGCTTGAAATTAGAAAGATTGGATCTCTTTCCAATTTGAATGGAAAGAACTAAATAGAACTTGCACACCTGAGTGGTTTAACATATAGTAATCTCTGTAATAGCATCATCCTGTTTTTCTGGGTTCAGTCCCTGAATCACAAAATACTATCTAGTCTGTATGCTTCCTAGCACTGTTTTGTAGGAGCTGGGAGACACAAAAAGCAGGGTAGCATTTGTGAACATGAACCTGGAATACTAGTTAAAGAATGTGGCCAGAGGTCAGCATTGATGGGCGCTGACCAGCTGTAGTCGGAGTTGAGTTGCATTTGGGTGACAGAGCTGGACTGGAATGGGGAGGCACCCTCTGGATTGTAGACTGGTGAGTTGTTATACCTGCTGGCTTTAAAATTATACTCTAAAAGCATAGAATTTTTATACACTGGGATTATGCTTCGTCCATGAATGCAAGGAAAAAAATGTGTACAGAAAACCTGGAGGTGTGGGAAATAGTGTTAGAAATGTGTTAGTCCCAGCTAAGACAAGGCATTTATGTGCTCTCTTTCGGACTGGCCACAGAAGGAGCTGAGTCTGTCTTCAGGGACAGAACAAAGGCCCAGCATGTTGTGTGGCAGCAAAGCAAACCCTTAACTATCTTCCCCAGCCACAGATGTAGCTCACAGTCTACCAATTTTGCAAACATTTATTAACTTTGACACATCAAAGATGTGTCTTCTGTTACTGTTTGTTAAACATTATGTTAAATATTTAACAAATAAGTGCACCCTCTCCTACTGTTTTCTCTGGCAATTATATGTGCTAGTGTAACTGAACACTTGGTGTTCAAATATTGTCTGTATTTGGTTAGTGTGGGTGGTGTGTTTATGGGGTGGGGGATGACTCCCAAAAGACAGTTGGGACAACTGTTGCTTGCATGTTTGGGATTCTGTCTACACTGAGAGCCGGGATTGTCAGTGCCTCTCAAGAGAAATGATTTAGGCACTTTTCGTTCTTGCTAAAAAGTTGTAGGTAGGGCTTTAGTTCAGTGGCTGCAGTTTGTCAAGTTTATTGCTGAAATGGTTGGTAGTGGCTGTAAATACAAGTAGGAATCTTAGTTTCACAATTAGCTCTCTCTGCCTAATATCTCTAGAGAGCGGGTTAAAATAACATCTTCGACAACCTGTGTACTTGATGCAGTATCAAGAAAAAACTTCTGTCAGGGTTCACTGCAAAAAATAATCTGTGAAGGATATCTCCTGTAAGTGAAAGCAAAGATCAAGTTCTGGAACTTGAAAGTTAGTGATTCCATCTAACATACTAAACAGGTATTTAAAATGAAAACCAGGGCACAGTGAATGCTTCTGTACACTTAATACTGGTGCAAAGATTGGGAATGCCAGAAGCTTTTTTTTTTTTAAACAGGTTTTTTTGTCATCAACACATGCTTCTGGGGGAGGGGACTGTCTAACGCTTTGGCTAGTGGCAACCTTCTCTAAAGATGACCTATTCCCAGTTTAGTCTCTTGCATGACATTGGTTGCTGTGGATACAAATACAATACCTACTTGCCACATGCATCATATCATTTGTGGCTCAGTTTTCTCCAGCTGGAATAGTGTGAAGGGGACCCACAAAGACTGGGATTAATAGTTCTGTCTTTCCTTCTTAACCAGACTCTGTGGAAAAATGTAATGCTAGTATGAGTAGCCCAAGGCTTAGTTTAACTGAGACACACTAACTGTAGTTACCATAATATCCTAGAAGTCATTTCCAGCACTGAATAGCACTGCCTTCCACGGGAGCATAAGAGTGAGAGATCCTTCACAGGAAGGGTTGTAAACTACTCGGTTAGCCAAACTGTGTTTATTCCTCTGTCACTACAGTGATACATACTGGGTAGTTATTGTAAGTGTGCTTTACCTTCCATGCTTGGTGTTTTATTGCAACTCTGTTTCCAAGGTAAAGACGCTTTTCCTTGCCTCTCCTCTACTTTTTGCCCCCTTAATTCCCAGTGTTTAATGACCAAAAAAACCTGCAATTTGAGGCTGGTGTTGATATATGAAGAAGCTAATATTAAAGTTCAGCTGAACGGAAAGGAACCAATTCTACTAACTTAACAAATTGCTTGTTTTGGGAATTCAAGGAACTTGCCATGCAGTAATTTAATCTCTAATAAACTGTCTTTAATTCTGGAATTTACAAGTACAGGATGGAGTGAGAACCTCGTCTATATTGATTTCCTTTTAATCACATTGTTGCGCATTAGTGCAGATGCTCTTTATGCTATTTTTCAAACACAAGCACTCCGGTTTTAAGTTAAATTTAGAATAGTGTGTACATACAGAAGCTAAGGTTTGGCTCTGCAGAACTGCAGCATAATATTGTCTCCTAGTCTAGTCCAATGGAAAGGGCTATTTAGTACTTTGGTTTTGCTGTCTGCTCCCTGAATCCTGTTTTCCTGAGCTGCTGCTCCTACAGAGAGTACGAGGCACGGCTAGAGAGATACAACGAACGAATATGGACGTGCAAAAGCACAGGAAGCAGCCAGCTGACGCACAAAGAAGCTTGGGAGGAGGAGCAGGAAGTTGCTGAGCTGTAAGTAACCGTGCAGAAGTTGGTATGCATCTCTCTTTAGGGTTTGGGGGCAGGAGAGCTGCCTTTAGAATGCTAGGTGGCTGCTAGTTACACAGTTGTGACGAGTTCCTTAGTACTTTGTAAGATTAAAGAAATTTGCCTCCAAATTTGACATACTCACTAATGCAGCTTAATCTGTAATGTTCTTTTCACAAAATAACTCTGAGTACAACATTTGGCATAGATGTCAAAACTACCTGTATCTTTCTGTAATTTCTCCTGTTCCACTCATTGCTGAAGGAGAGAAAAAACAAAAGCACCTAAGTAGTGTGACTTTTACTGGTTTCCACATAATGATGGTGTGCATACCAGCTAACTCCCCAGCAGCAGTTGTTGTTTTTTCCAGATCTGTGCGGGTATCAACCAGTAAACTGGTGCCATTAAATTCAGTAGTATTTTGGAATAAGGTGTTAGTGATCTGCTCCACTTGAAACAAACTGCAAAAAAGCAAAATTGCAAGGATAGTTTTGCCAAGCTCTCTCTTTTCCCTACCAGTTGGCCTACCCCCTTTTGTCAGTCTCACAGAGTGGCCAGAACTTTGGTTTATATCCAGTGTAAAACTTGCCATGATGAAGGAACCTTTCTAAGGGCAAGTCCTTGATTGAACTAATTAGGTATCTTCTTCCTTAATTGCTGTACCCAATGAAAGTAAGGGAGTTGAACACCTAACAAAGGACATTTCTTTCTCAGTTTTACATACTGGCAACTTTGGCTTTGTCTCTTTCACTCTATAAAGATGAACTGTTACCACCTATTTAGTGTGTGTTTATAGATTAAATCTGTCTTGGATATTGCTTCTGCTGTGTTTACTGGAGAGGGAATTCATCATTTTGATTGGAATAAGAGGTGATAGTCCATGTCCTAGAGAGGAATTGCCTGCAACATTTTTCTTGTCCAATTAAATTGCTCCCTTTAAAAACTACTTCCCAACTGTGCAAGGTGCCAGAAGCCTTAGACAGAGATATAGTTGTCTTTGATCTCTCCCCAGCTAATGCTCTTCAGTATGAGGGAAATCTATGTTGCTGGTTCTGTAATTGCATAATCTTGAAGTAGCTGAGTCAGTGGATCGCTTGCCTAGCTTTGCTGTCTTACTCTGATGCAGTGATACAGGATTAGCTAACTGCTCCTGTTTTTCTGAAAGTTTTCAGTTACATAAATGAGAGAATGTCGTAATTCAGGTTAGATACAGATTTTTATATTTGTCTTAAACCAAATAGACGTTCAGTAAAATGTCCCTTAGAGACCAGTCTCCCTGTTGAATGAGAATTATAATAAAAATTTTATGCAGCTGCAGATTTAAAACTTAAAGCATTGATCTGAATGTACAAGTTTAGTCCGCCTTGGTCATGAGGAATCCACTGATTAGTAATCCTAGAATAACTACAAATGAGGACTCGGTCAGCAAGAGCTACCTGAAATCTAAGAAACAAGATAACTTTTGATAGGGTGAAGTGGAGTTTTTCTATCACTAAACAAACTTGAATTTGGTGCTTTCATTCAAATTTTTTTTTTAGGGAATGTATGGTGAGAATTCAAACTGACAAACCCGCTCTGATTTAGGAAGTGACCAGGCAAGCTTTCCTCCATCCTTCTAATTCAGTGGTTCTCAAACTTTTTTTGTACTGGTGATCCCTTTTACACCGCAAGCCTCTGAATGCCCCCCCTTATAAATTAAAAACACTTTTTTTATATTTAACACTTTTAAACTGATATTTTATGTTTGTTAATATCACTTTTCACAGCAGACTTACTAGTGCAGACTTCACAGCAGACTTGCTAGCTAGATGGGCGGCACATACTCGCGACCCCCACATAATAACCTTGTGACCCCCTGAGGGATTGTGACCTCCAGTTTGAGAACCCCTGTTCTAATTAATCATCCTTCACACAACTACATCAGTGGAACACATATTTGCATAGACTAAAATACTGCACAATAATTTATTTAAGTAAGCCCTACTTACTGCATTATAAGACATATAAAAATATTTTAACAGTATAAACTTAATATGGGAGAAAATGCCAAACTTCAATTGGGATTGCAATACTCCTGAAGGGAAAACTCATCTTAAAATTAAAAGGTGAAAAGTAGGCCTGTCAATTAATCGCAGTTAACTCACACGATTAACTAAAAAGATTAATCGCAATGAATTAACAATTAATTGTTAAACAATAGAACTGTTAAACAATAGAAATACCAGTTGAAATTTATTAAATTTTTTGGATGTTTTTTCTACATTTTCAAATATATTGATTTCTATTACAACACAGAATACAGAGTGTACAGTGCTCAATTTATATTATTTTTATTACCAATATTTGAACTGTAAAAATGATAAACAAAAGAAATAGTATTTTTCAATTAACCTCATACAAGTATTGTAGTGCAATCCCTTTATCCTGAAAGTGTAACTTACAAATGCAGATATTTTTGTTACATAACTGCTCTCAGAAACAAAACAATGTAAAACTTTAGAGCCTACAAGTCCACTCAGTCCTATTTCTTGTTCAGCCAGTTGCTAAGACAAACAAGTTTGTTTACATTTACAGGAGATGCTGCTGCCTGCTTTTTATTTACAATCTCATCTGAAAGTGAGAACAGGCATTCACATGGCACTTTTGGAGCCGCCGTTGCAAGGTATTTACGTGCCAGATATGCTAAACATTCGTATGCCCCTTCATGTTTTGGCCACCATTCCAGAGGACATGCTTCCATGCTGATGATGCTCGTTAGAAAGTAATGCGTTAATACAATTTGTGACTGAACTTCTTGGGGGAGAACTGTATGTCTTCGGCCCTGTTTTACCCGCATTCTGCCATATATTTCATGTTATAGCAGTCTGGGATGATGACCCAGCACATGTTTGTTTTAAGAACACTTTCACTGCAGATTTGACAAAACACAAAGAAGATACCAATGTGGGATTTCTAAAAATAGCTACAGCACTCGACCCAAGGTTTAAGAATCAGAAGTGCCTTCCAAAATCTGAGAGCGGTGAGGTGTGGAGCATGCTTTCAGAAGTCTTAAAAGAGCAACACTCAGATGCGGAAATTATAGAACCCAAACCACCAAAAAAGAAAATCAACCTTCTGCTGGTGGCATCTGATCAGATGATGAAAATGAACATGCATCAGTTTGCACTGCTTTGTATCGTTATCTAGCAGAACACATCAGCATGGACGCATATCCTATGGAATGGCGGTTGAAGATGGAGGGACATATGAATCTTTAGTGCATCTGGCACGTAAATATCTTGCGACGCCGGCTACAACAGTGCCATGCAAACGTTTCTTCTCACTTTTAAGTGACATTGTAAACAAGAAGTGGGCAGCATTATCTCCTGTAAATTATAACCAAACTTGTTTGTCTGAGCGATTGGCTGGACAAGAAGTAGGACTGAGTGGACATGTAGGCTCTAAAGTTTTACATTTTTATTTTTCAATAGTTATTTTTTACACTTAATTCTACATTTGTAAGTTCAATTTTCATGATAGAGATTGCACTACAGTACTTGTCTGAGGTGAATTGAAAAATACTATTTTGTTTTTTACAGTGCAAATATTTTGTAATCAAAAATAAAGCAAGCACTATACACTTTGTATTCTGTGTTGTAATTGAAATCAATATATTTGAAAATGTAGAAAACATCCAAAAATAATTAAATAAATGGTATTCCATTATTTAATAATGTGATTAATCGCGATTAATTTTTTTAAATCGCTTGACAGCCCTAGTGAAAAGATAATTGAGTGTTCATGTGTCTCATAACTGAGTTACATAAATCAAATTATACACCTCTCCTGGATAGAATACAAAATAACCTGAAGAAAGATTGGTTCCTCTAGGCACTACTGCAGTAGAAATGTTTAAGAATAAAAAATATGGGACTTATTTTTCTGGATAGGTATTCTATTAAAAAAATCTTTTGCCATGTTTTTGGGTCAGTAACACAGGCAGGGTTTGTTTAGTGTGTAGGCAACACTTCACAGGGAGATGGCAATCGCCAGAAAGATAAGCACTGCCGGCATGGCCCTGTTGCACAGCTGTGCTTTGTATTTCTTGTGGGTACAGGAGTGAATTTATATTGGTGACCGTATGAACATTTATTTTTTCTTGTGATAAATCCCACTCTGACCGCTTGCATTATTATTTATTCTAATGTGGTGTCACCTTGAAAGTGTTTGTTTAACTGTCAAAATGCTCTCAGTGGCATGAACTGGCAGAACATGTTGCATTTCATATTTTGTTAGCTGGATGATGTAAACTTTTCACATCCTTGTTCAGTTTGAAGGAGGAATTTCCCACCTGGTATGAGAAACTGGTACTGGAAATGGTCCACCACAATACGATCTCCTTGGAGAAGCTTGTAGATGCAGCCTGGCTAGAGATCATGACCAAATATGCAGTGGACGAAGAGTGTGACTTTGAGGTGAGGCTCTAGTTTCAAATACTTGCCATGCTTCTGCTTAATGCCGCTATCCTCAGAGAGGTAAGAGGAGGTCACAAACATTTTCCCCTCCAGTCTTCATGACTGTCTAAACTTGGTGCAGAATGGTAGGACTCTCACCTCTTGGTGGAATTCCCTTGATAATGCCTATTGCCAAAGCAATAGTGTGGAAACCTGTTTCTTAAGCAGAGGCTAACATGGTATTGTCAGAAGATGGGAGTGGCTTGGGCAAAGGAGACTTGTCATCTCTAGCAGAAGAAGAGGTTCACATCTAACTGCTCTTCTGCTACACACACACACACACACACACACACACCATGTTCCCAATAGGAATAGCAGAGTGTAACTGACACCGCTTGCACTAGTTCAGCGGTGGGCAAACTTTTTTGCCCGAGGGCCACATCTGGGTATGGAAATTGTATGGTCGGCCATGAATGCTCACAAAATTGGGGGTTAGGTTTCGGATGGGGTGAGGGCTCCGGCTGGGGATGAGGAGTTGGGGGTCCAGGAGGGTGCTCCAGGCTGGGACTGAGGGGTTTGGAGGGCGGGAGAGGGATCAGGTCTGGGGCAGGGATGCAGACTCCAGGCAGCGCTTATCTCAAGCAGCTCTCAGAAGCAGCGGTATGTCCCCCTACCAGCCCCCTGGCTGCCCCTACGCGTAGAAGTCGGAGAGGGGACATGCCGCTGCTTCTGGGCACGCTCCCTAGATGGAGCACCGGAGCGAGGCAAGCTTGAGGGCCGGATTAAAACGTCTGAAGTGCGATAGTTTGCCCACCACTGCACTAGTTTGATTCTCCTACTTCTTGGAAAGGTCTACTGTAGTGGCAGATGCCAATTAAAAAAAAAAAAAAAAAAGGTAGGGCTGGGGGGACTGAGTGGAAACTCAGGTTTGTCAAAAAGGAAGGGGAAGATTCAATCCTGGTCCTGTGACAGTATATATTTTGGACTGAGTTGTGTTCTGTTTCCTGAGCTGGGACCATTGAGATGACACACACAACCCCTTGCAACACATCTGGAAGATTGAGGAAGTAGCAATAGTGGACTTTAGAAAAGCTTGTGTGCGGTTTTTCCTTCCATTGGAGTAATAAGCAGGACTTCTAAATAGGGCAGGTAATGGGGAGATCTTGTAAGTCTGTGACAGAGGAAACTATAGGAGTGTCTCACTGAGGTCAAAGATTAAAAATTGTTCTCTCTCAAACCATAGTGTGTATGTGACTCTTATTTTGTTTCACTTTCCTTCCTTCCCTTCACATGTTAAAAAGCAGATCAGCTCATATTTCCTGCCTAGTTACTGTTTTTTTAATGCATTTTTCTGCTCAGGTTGGAAAAGAGAAAATGCTGCCAGTAAAAATTGTGAAAGTACATCCACTGGAGAAGGTGGATGAGGAGGCTGCTGAGAAGAAATCTGATGGAACATGTGATTCCCCATCCAGTGACAAAGAGAACTCCAGTCAGGTAGCCCAGGACAACCAAAAGGAGTCAGTGCTGAAGGAGGATGACAGCAGAAGAGAGATTATGAGTGAGTAACAAGACAGCCTATTTAAGGGTTTGTGGTCTGGGGGCACAAACCCAAATGTTCTCAGGCCTGGGTTATGAAATACTGTACATGCTCTCTGAAGAGTACCGTGTGGATCTTCTCACTCAGTGTTACACGATACACCACAATTCTGAGCTAGTGGTGTAGTTGTAGTGGAATTAAAAAGCACTGCAAGTCTGCAGCTACATGTAGTCCATTACTTTGTCTTACAGAAATCAAAATGTGATTAGATTTGCCTTTGTCCAATATAGTCATATGAAACTTTCTTCAGTAGGCTTATTAATTACAGCATGTGTGCAGTTTCTTTGGGACCTTTATCAAAGCTAAGAAAAATTGCGCATGTGTATCACTGGTGGAGATGCGCTAGTGGTGTTGATAGAAGCTGTAGTGTAGCCAGGGCTCGGGTCGTCTTCAGTATGTTTAACTTTACTCTGAGTGAAGTTAATCTCAGATAAGGGTAGAGACAACTGCCATGATAGGCTGTAGCTTCCAAAATTGCTGCCACTGGTTGACAGCTGACAGTTGTCAGTCTGGAGGCAGTGTTATTTATTAATCCCAGGCGCATGGAGGCATACTCCTCTCACTTAAATGACCTGCACCAAGAATGTTGACCATCCAATTTTCAGCTGCAGTGTGCACAGAACTAGTGTCACTGAAATATTGGCTAAGCTTCGCTTAGTTGATGCTGTGGACAGGACCTAAGTTGTTGCTGTCACCTTGTTGGTGTTTAGAGGGAATCATTGAGAAACCTTTCCACTCTGTTGTGAGAACGCTTCAAGACTCTTCCTGTATTTCAACCTCCTGCTGGTACCAGACACTTCTCTTCTCATGAAGATGTATCTCATCCTCTCTGGGTTTCCTGCTGGAGCATAACTGATTGCACTGGTACTTGCCACGTTGCTGTATTTAGGCTCACTTTCTACATAGTGACCAGCAGACAACAAAATGCAGCTAAAACAGAGCATTGTCAACAAAAACAGTGATCAGCAGAACTAGGTAATGGTTTGCACTTCTGAAAGGTCAGTAGTATTTAACAAGGAAGAAAATACTCTGAGAACAACTGGGGTGATGCATTCTTGGTGATAGGGCTGGGAATTAGGCACTAGCTAACATCTAGTGTGGTAGAATTGCTGATAGTTAGATTTAAATTTCTGTCAACCACATCTTGGATTTAGAAGGCGTAGCTTGACACACGAGGTTCAGAAGAACGGCTGATATGAGCAGGAGGCAACTCAAAAGCAAGGAAAACCAAAGCTGAGCTTTATGCTCTAGTGCAGGGGTCTCAAACTCAAATGACCACGAGGGCCGAATGAGGACTAGTGCATTGGCCCAAGGGCCGCATCACTGACACCCACCCCTTGCTGCCCCCGGCCCCGCCCCCACTCCACCCCTTCCATGAGGCCCTGCTTCTTCCCACCTCTTCCCCGCCCCCATTCCAACCCCTTCCCCGAAGTCCTCACCCCAACTCTGCCCCCTCCCTGCCCCCAGGGAGTGCAGGAGGGGTGCGGGGGGGGCTCAGGGCAGGGAGTTGAGGTGCAGGAGATGTGCAGCGTGCGGCAGGGGGCTCAGGGCAGGGAGTTGGGGTGCGGGAGGGGTGTGGGATGTGGTAGGGGGCTCCGGACGGGGGGTTGGGGGTGCAGGAGGGGTGTGGGCTCCGGCCTGGCACCACTTACCTACAGCGGCACTGGGGTGGCAGTGCCATGCACTGTGGCCAGGGCAGGCTGCCTGCCTGCCCTGGCCCTGCTCCGCTCCACTCCAGGAAGCAGCCGGAGTCCCTGGGGAGGGAAGCAGGAAACAGCGCCATGTGCTGCTCTTGCTGCTCCTCCAGGTACCCCCCCTCCCCCCGAAACGCTCCCATTGGCCGCGGTTCCGCGTTCCTGGCCAATGGGAGCTGTGCGGGGCTGTGCCTGGAAGCAAGAGCAGGGAGCCCTCTACTTCCTCCTCCCCCTGCCCCCCCCTCCCCCCCCCCAGCCTGGGGCTGCAGGGACATAGTTCCAGCCGCTTCAGGGAGTGGTGCGGGGCTCGTGGTGCCACGGGGTAGGCAGAGGGGCCAGGGGGCGTGGGGAGCTGTTTGAGACCCCTGCTCTAGTGTTAACTTTTGTTGTGATTTCCCATCCCCACTTCCCTTCACAGCCCAACCATAAAATCAACCGACCCTTGACTCTAAACGTTGTGGCTCTCTACTTTGAGTCAATATTTAGTGTTTTCTCACCTCCCCAGTACGCCTTAGGAGCCAATTCTTCCTTTCAGACTTGGAGCTGATTGGAAAACCAAAATCAACTTTGTGGAAAAATCTGTTACTATTTTACAAGGTTGGACATAAAACAATTTAAAAATTGTTTTTCTTCCTCTTTCTCTCTCCCTCCACCCCTCTTTCCCATTGAACACAACAAAATGAATGTCCAGGGCTTTTTCCATGTCTTCATTTTTGCCTTTTGCTCTTTTATAACTCTTCAAAACTTCCTCAAGTTTGGAAAAGTTAGTGTCAAAAGGAAGAAATGGAACTCTAACACTACCCTCTCTAACTCTTAAGAACTTAAACTTTTTGCTTGTGGGTTTGAAAAGGCCACTTGAATGAGAACTTTCAACCATCTCTGACCAGGGTAAATATCAAAGCTTATGTTTAAGGACACTTTACTGATTCTTGTAAAGTGTTTGTTACACCCGAGGGGGATGAGCATAGTCCCCATTTTACACGTGAGGAAACTACAAGTAGAGGTGAAGTGGCTTACGCACAGTGACACAGCAAATCACTGGCAGAACTGTAACTGGAACCAGATTTCCCAACTTCCGGTCCTTAGCTTCTATGGATTCTCACCCAATGCAGATAAGGAGCTTTTGCACTGCAGGTATATTTGAGCTGTGGACTATGTACATGTTAGTAATATTTGTAATTGTCCATACTATCTGAGAAAATGTTAGCATGTGGAGAAACATTCTGGCATTAAACTCTCTAAGGTTGTGTCTACACTATAAGTAGTGTGTGATTCCTCTACTCTGTACACCTACTCGTGGTAGCTTGATGAAAGCTAGCGTGCATCTAAATAGCAGTAATAGTAGTAGTGAAGGCATGGCTGAGCGGTGCCAAGTACAAACCCACTTGAAACTGGTGGGTATGTACTCGGCATGGCTTGCCATGCCTCTGCTGCTACTGCTGCTGTTTATATTCCTTAGCTCCATGAGATCTAGCGCAAGTATGTGTACATGGGCAGGGGAATCACACCTCTAGCTCATAACACAGACATAGCCAATCAATTTATAAAACAAATTGGTGCATTAGTAATGCTTAGAATGGGGCTAAAGCACAGTAATTTAGTTAGCAAGGAAGGAAGAAACAGCAAATGCTTGTCATTGGGCAGTAATTGGCAAGAAATTGTGGAATATATTTGTTTTATTCATAGTGTAGTGTTTGCCAAAATTTCATTAAACAAAATATTACACGAGCACAGAAACCCTAAATCAATTAACTTCTGAATGGGGCTGTTCGAGGAACACAGCCTAGCCCTCTGTGCTTCTGACATAACCACAAAGCCATGTTGAAGAGTTAAGACTCCTGAGTTTTATTCTGGTTCTGCCACTGACTGACTTTGGTAAAGTGACTGGTCTAATCTCTGTTTAAAGTTACCCACTTGTAAAATAAGGATGGTGCATACTGTAAATAGGAAATTTAACATTGATAATTTCAAAGCACTTTACAAAGGTGTTGAGTATATAATTCCATGCTAAATAATCGCTTAATAGAAACGGTAAGAGTACACCATTAAACTCCCAATATTAAGCACGTGCATACAACTTTAACTCTGCTCTCTTGTGTGAATGCACAATACTTTTTTAATTGCACGGCCGATACATTGTATGAGAAATAGTAACAATGCAATTTTTCTACAATTTTAGATATAGCATCACATGGGTAATACTTAGCTGAGTTCAAGTCCTTGAAAATAAATATGAAATGCTTACTGTACTTGTATAATATACTACAAATGTAGTAATGAAAACATCTGGTGTATGTATGCGAACTTCAGATAATGGCATATACACAAGGGGACAGAGTAAACCTTAGCATTTTCTTGGCACTCATCCTCCCCCCCCCCCCCCCTTTTTTTTTTTTTAAAAGGTATAAATAAAGCAGCTTCAGCTCTTGGGTTTGAATCCCTGCTGTCTTGCAGAGGTTCATGTATAGTGCATGTTGATTCTATGACCTGGATAGATCTAATCTGCAGTAGGCATCCCCTGTCCTACAGACACTAGGACAGAGGTGGGCAAACTTTTTGGCCCGAGGGCCACATCTGGGTATGGAAATTGTATGGCGGGCCATGAATGCTCATGAAATTGGGAGTTCAGGGGTGAGGGCTCTGGCTGGGAGTGTGGGCTCTGGGGTTGGGACCAAAATGAGGCGTTCAGGGTGCAGGGGAAGAAGGGTGAGAGCTGGGATGCAGGCTCTGGGGTGGGGCTGGGGATGAGGGGTTGGGGGTTCAGGAGGTTTCTCCAGGCTGAGACAGAGGGGTTCGGAGGACAGGAGGGGGAATCAAGGCTGGGGCACGGGAGGGGGTCGGGCGCAGGCTCCAGCGGTGTTTACCTCAAGCAACTCCTAGAAGCAGCGGCATGTTTTCCCTCTGGCTCCCCCCAGCCAATGGGAGCTGTGTGGGCAGCGCACTGAACTCCCTGGCTGCCCCTACATGTAGGAGCCAGAGGGGGGACATGCTGCTGCTTCTGGGAGCTGCGCGGAGTGGGAAAAGCCCTGGGCCCTGCTCCCCGGCAGGAGCTCAATGGCCGGATTAAAACATCTGGAGGGCTGGATGCGGCCCCCGAGCCGTAGTTTGCCCACCCCTGCACTAGGGCTTGGGAAGAAGCCCCTCCTTTTGTATCTCATACGAGTAGTGCAGCTGGAAAGGACTCCTAAGGTGCACAAACCAGGCTTGCATTCCTGCATGCCTTTGTAGGTTCACCAGCATGGAATGGGAATAAGCAGGCTGGGCAGC